TTTTTAAACAAAAAATTAAAATAAACATTTAAGAGAAATAGTCAATAAACGCATAGTGTTTAGTTATGTTGTAATACACATGATTCAATCATCAATCAATTAATAGACACTTTAAAAATATTTTCTTATGAAAAAGAAATCTACAAATTATTTTTGTCATCTCTTTTTTTTTATTATAATTTTAATAATTAAATGAATTTTATAGACCCTAATTATACATGTGAAAAAAAACTGTTTTGATGTTATATATACAGAGTGATTTTTTTATCATAACCCACTGAATTACTTACAGAATAATAATAATTTAAACAATTTTTTTTTTTTGGTTATCTTTAGTTACACATTATTCTTGAATTATTAACTATGTAATACTTTTTAAGTTCATCTCTTATGCCTGGTAAGGGTGACAACTTTGTTTTTTTAAATGGTAACACATATTTTTAATTTAATAAAATGTTTGAGTTTTTAATTTAATAGTAAATAGCATTTAAATGTTTAATAAAACTTTATTTGTTTATTAGATATAAACATTTAAAGTTTCAAATTTTTGAGTTAATATAATACACAAGGGATTACAAATACAGGTAGCTAATTAGTTTTTATGACATTGCTGTCGCAGTTACTGATTGGTTATTATCAATTATGACTACAATAGATGTACTTTCTGTGTTGTCAGTTAATGTATTTATTAACTCAAAACAATGTGCCTTACTACCATTGATAATAACAATGATGTATACTTGCTAATATCGATGTCATAAAAAACTAATTAGCTGCTTGGCATGAGAGATGAACTTAAAAAATATTACATATTTAATTATTCAAGAATATTGTGTAACTAAAGATAACCAAAAAAAAAAAAATGTTAAAATTATTATTATTCTGTAAGTAATTCAGTGGCTTATGATAAATAAAATCACTCTGTATATATAAAATGTCAAAATGATTTATATATTCTAGTTATCTGTAATAATTTCCGTATTTTATGCTTACATATCAATAAACAGTTGTACTATAAGGATAAGACAATGGTGATTGATGGGGGTAAAAAGTATTATGAAAAGGCAGAGCAAACCCTTCTCCGTCACTGTTCTAATCGTGATCTGGACAACGTTACTCGAATGTCGTGATTGTCATTGTTGAAATTCTCGCGTATTAATTTGTGAAGTAAAAGTCAAACTAGTGTTACTGTTTTTATCAAATTATTAATACTGTTACTGAACTTTTTTTAAGAACAGAGAAAAATTTGAAATCTATAAGAGTTAACACTAATATTATTTTATGACCCTCGAATTAAAAGTAACTCTCACTCTCAATTTTAACCACGTCACATTCTTCTCTTTTTATTTTATTAAGTTTTGAGTTACGATACCTAAAAGAGTAAAAAAAGAGTAAAAGCTAGAATAACTGTTTAATTTTAAGAAAATAGTATTTTAACTGTAATTTAAATATTATTAATAATTAATTTAACTTAATACGCGTTAAAATTATAATTGTTTTTTATTTTAGAACAATTCTAAAAAGTGATTTCATAATTTATGTTGTTAAAAAAAAAATAAACTCCATTTAAAATGTATGAATTATATTATTCATAATTTAATTTTGATTCTAACAGATGACAATGAAAGATGTGCAATAATAATAATTTAAATAAAAAATACATTATAAATAGTAATAGAGCAAACAGTGACGGAATATCTTTTATAATAATATTTTATTTTCACAAGAATAAAAGTTCTAAAACTACCACCTACGCTATACAATAATTCATTTTTGACACCTACATCACTGTGTGTTTGAAAATACTTAAAAAATATATTTATGACACAAATACGTATTTACAGCGTGATTTATTAGGCATACTACAACCTATTTTTAGTTTGAATAATGAATTTTTTTTGTAAAAATTTACTTATTAAAATTTAATTATATACTATACTTCAAAAAAATTATTGATTTTAGGGATAACTTCTTGATTATTAATGTTCTTTTAAGAAAAAATGCTTCTTTGATCTTTATTAATTTATTCATAGTTTCTTTTAATTTTTAAGTAAAAAAACTATTTTTTCAAAATGTCTCATTTGATTTTTTTTGATAAAATTCTCAAGAAAAAATGGATAAATATTTTTTTTTTAGAAATGTACAATCTGTACAATGAGCACAATAAGCATATATGATAAGAGTAGAAAAATTTACATGAATACATTTTGATGGAAGAAACCACTCATTAGTGACACTTTTCATGATTTTTTTAGTTTAAAATTTTTTTAGAATTTTTATTTTATATTTCCTATGACTTATATATATTATTATTAATTGATAATATTAGAAAGAAGATCACGGCACCACTTACGTTTTAAACATCAGGGTGGGTCTCCAGGTATGGACAAGGTTGAGAGGTTTTTTATTAGGGGCTTAGAGTGGGAGAGTAATTTATTGTGGAATCTTTTATAGTAGGAGATGGCTTCTTCATAGACTATTTTTAAGTTAAGGTCGTTATGAAGTGTATAATTAGAGATATAAGGAGGTGCATTGATTAGTTTTCTTAAGACAATATTAAGAAAAATATAAAAAAGTTTTTAAACCAATGCGATAGTGGGCAAACATTTTGTTCTATTTTTCTTTTAACTCAAAAATAATCTTTGTTATAATTCAAAAAAAATAAAAAGGCAAAAAGTTGGTAAAATATAAATAATGAAAATGAATAAAANCAAAAAAAATAAAAAGGCAAAAAGTTGGTAAAACATAAATAATGAAAATGAATGAATGGTTGATGGGTTTAGTGAGAACCTGATGTTTTGGTTCTATCGGGGTCGTATGGTTCGAGGGTTTAGAACAATAAAGACAAGTAGATATGAAGAAATAAAAGCATGTCCTCTTACTTGAGGAATATGAGCTAATAAACTTGTAAACACCTTTAATAGGACAATGAGGTAACGGGACGGTAATCCGACCCTCGAATACCCAGTCGAAGTGTCTATTAATATAATCAGATACACATTAGGTTTTTAAACTCTTTTTAGGCACGGGGCGGTAATCCGACCCTCGAGACCCTATAACGTGTATATGTAGTAGGTGTGAACAAACCNGGGCGGTAATCAAACCCTCGAGACCCTATAACGTGTACATGTAGTAGGTGTGAACAAACTAGCAAAATAGCTCTTGATGTTAAAAGGAGATTATAGAACTATTGCTTTATCGTTCTTTACTCAGATTATTAACTTTAAATAAATGAGATAATATAAATTGACTTACCTTCGTATTTTGTGATGTCCAAGAAGATAAATGAAGTATTTACCAGAAATGTAAATTTTCACTCAATATTATTTATTTGTGGTAAAAATGTCTTTGTAGACCAAAATAAGTTTTAAACACAAATAAAGTAAATAAAATAAAATAACTCAAACGGCAGCACGGAGCCGTGATCAAAATGTAATAGCAAGAGTAGTTCGCAGGAAAGAATTAGCTTACTGGAGCTGTGGCTCTGGCAGTAGCTCTCTCTAGCCGTGGCTCTGTCTTTTCAATGGATATCAGTGCTTTTTATAGTACTAAAGAGGTACCCCCATATCCAGGGATATTGCCGTCTGTGTTATTCATGATTATATTTTATTGTTTTAAAGTATACATTACATGATAATTATATTGATAGCATAGTTAACAATAGATGAGTTGACATATATGTATATAATAAGAAATTGTGTTGAACATTGTATTTGTTATGACAGATAAATTATGTCTTTGTTTACAAGTTATTTAAAATACAGATTATACTTTTTTCATTGATAATTGTGAGATGCGTAATGCAAAGTATTAAGCATATCACGACACTTGTATCCGTGCCTGGCCAACACTTAAATTTTTGTCTATTAATTAACTGGTACTTCAATTAAGCATTTCTCAATTTTTTTAGAAGTATAATATATTATATATATATAATACATATAAATAAAATCCCTGATATTCATAATTATAATTTTAACAGAGTAAATTTTACAGTTTTTAAACTAATAAAGAAAATTGAATTTCCGTTAAATTTTTTTTTTTGCTCAATAATCTTTTCCCATTTTAGCAATGTTTTGAAAACAAGCTGATTAAATATATTATTTAAAAATTATTATTGCATTCACTAAATCGAAAAAAATTAGTACACGTACATATTTCATTAGATATATAAAACAATTCTGATTTTAAAAACGCATATTGTTCAAGTAAAATAGCAAATTGAGTAAACAAATTGGGATATAAATTAATTTGAAAAATCATTACATTTACAATTATTAAGTCACGTAAGTATTTATTTTTGAAAAGAGTCCAGAAAATATTTATTTAAAAATTATACATTCCTATTTAAAGATATAAACTTAAGAATAAAAGTATCGCATTTTTATCAAAATTATAATTAATATTATTTAAAATTTATTATTCAGTTATATCAGAAAAAATGAAGAAGATACTACTGCAATTGTTGATTTTACCTGTAAGATTTTTGACAAAATTTATTATATCATAAAATAGATTATACTTAATACTCAGAGTTAAATATTTTTTTAAATGTATTGAGGAATGTTATTTTTATTTCGAAAAAATTATTAAGAAACCTAAACTTATCAGTGTTTTTAGCAGATACTATTTATATAAATTCTATAAATTAAGTATTAGTTATTTACATAAGAAGTTATAATTAAAGGAAAAATTAAAAATCAGCCCTGAATCATTGAATGAGTTAAACAATATATAATGTGTTTTTATTCTAAAATGTGTTTGGCATGTTTACGTAATATAATGATACATGTTGGAAAAATGTTTAATATTGTTGGAGATCTGAGTTATAAAAGTAAATTTAATTTATAGTAAGGTTATAAAATTTCAGACTCATAAGGGTTAACATATTTAAGACTCATTAATAATGTTATATAATAATAAACATGTAGTAATTTATGCATATTATGTGTAAATAAAAAAAATATATCATTTAAAACTAAAATAAATATTTTTGGATTGTGTAGGTATTTTTATCGTCAACATTGGAAATCCTTAAAACTATTGCAAATACAAATTTGATAAATGCCAAAAAAGAATTGTATGACTGTTTTAAAAAATATAATTTATATCTAAATTACAGAAAACATAACGGTAAATAAAATATTTCTTGGGAAATAGTCATTTATACATAATTATGGTATTTATGTTAGAAGTAATTACTAACATACATTAAGTGTAATTAATATGCAATTTTCAATAAGTTTTGTAACTGTTAAAATAATTACATTTTAAATTGCTTAATATGAATGATAAAATATTTCAAGTTGGTAATTTGTTTTCAGAGCAGAGAGTTTTTTCAGAAATATTCGATAACTATATAAATACATCGGTAAAAGATATGTGCTCAAATAAACTTAAGCCGCTTAATTTGAGTGGAAATGCTAGAATACATTTTTACTTTTGGGGAAGCAAAGACAGTACACTAGAATTNAAAGACAATACACTAGAATTTAAGGATTTTAAGAATTCAGATAATTGTTTTGATGATTTCAACTTACATTTATTTGCTGCTACAGAACCACAGGTCAGAGCAATTAAAACACATAGATATACTTGATAATTCAATATATTTAATGTAAATACTGTGTTTATTAGTAAATCACACATTATATTACTTTACTAAACTTATATCATACAAAATTGAGTTGCAGATGATTCTAAATGACGAGAAACTACAAAAAAAAGTTGACCAAAATTGGTCTATTGCAGTGGAAACGTTATACAACTGTTTTATACATTTGGGTTTACATGAAGGTTATCATTATGAAAAAGTTTTTGATAAAATAACATTAAATAATAAAGATAAATACAGCAACAATATAGGTGATTACAAAACAATTATAATGAAGTATAAATTAATATTTTTACAACATAAGCAATTTTGAGTAAAAGTTTTACGATATTTGGCTTTTCTATCGATATAATATTATAATTTGTAGTAATACAAAAATAAAAAACATGATGTTTGGTATTTTTGATCAAGGTTGGATATTTGGGGATTTGGTCGATTCAGGAGCAACGAGGTTCTATCGGGGTTGTAGAGTCCGAGGGTAGAACAGTAAAGACAACTAGATATAAAAAGATATGTATTAAGTTTCTCTCATAGAGGTATTAAACGTTGAGATATTCTTCTTCTGAGGGTCTTGGCCTCCTATCTGACACCCAGTCGAAACGTGATGTTAACTGGTATGTGCTTTAGTGGGAATACTGGGGCGTTCTTGGAGAGGCGGAGGCCTCCTCTCAGACACCCAGTCGAAGTATATGACCAAGCACTAACTAGCTATTAATAATTAAATTAAATGATGTTTAAAAAATCTATTGCTTTACCATTCATTACTCAGATTATTAATTCTAAATAATTGGGTTAATACGAATTTACTTACTTTTTTAGATATCTTACGTTTAGATTTATACTGTTCTTTTTAAATAAATAAATAAAGTATTGACGCAAAATAATTGTATTCGATATTGTTTTAAAATATACCGACGACAACACGAGGTCGCGGCTAGTTGATCACAATAAATCAGATAGATGAATTCTGAATTCTTTATTGAATTCAGAACTTCAAAAAGGAGAGAGCCGCTCGCTCACTGATGTGCAAGGAGAACTAAGCCTTTTTATATTATTTTTAATTACCCCCAACATGGGTTGTTGTCGTCAGCGCTTTTAGTGATTCTCAATTTATTGTATTAAATTGAACATAACATAATAGTTATTTTAGATAAGATGTATAGCATACAATAGTCAGATTAACATGTATATACATATATAATAGCTAGTGTACAAAAGTGTATATGATATGACAGATAAATTAATTATTTGTTTGTATAATAGTAATATAAAATACAGATTATACATTTTTCATTGATAAATGTAAGATGCGTAATGCAAAGCATTAGTCATATTACGACAAATTAATTGGTACAACAAATGCATTGATCATTAATTACAGAAATTCTCATGACTTCATACTCATAAAAAAATTACATGATTTTGACTGTTTTGGACGATTTCCTTTATTTAAGGGTAGTTTTTTTTAAATTACTGCGCTGATTGTTTTAAGTAGAAACGTTCTGTGATCTTTTGACGTATCGTTAAGCAAAATCGATCTAGTAAGAGTGGGGTTATAATGTATTGTGATAAAAATTATATACACGGCAGTATGGAAGCTAAAGGAATATCATAAGGGGCGTGCGCCTCACTAACAATAATCGCCTTCTAAAATAATATTTTAAATACTTGTACTTCTTAATATAATCTTTATGCTATCAAGTGTAAATTATGATATCAATTTACATTTAACTCTAAATGTTTAATTATTTTATTGATTATCAGTTGAAATAAATGTTAAAAAAATAAAATAAAAATCATTTAAGTTTGACATAAAGCAAACATGCTAATAACAATATAAACATTACAGAATATTGCTNAAACATGCTAATAACAATATAAACATTACAGTATATTGCATAAAAGAAGATTTCCTAAGTTTCTTAAATACAATTAAAGAAAATATTATTAAAAGAACATGGACATCTAAACAAATAAATGAAAATATGGCAATATATGTATTTGAAAAGAATAAAGNGGCAATACATGTATTTGAAAAGAATAAAAACATCTCAATACAGTTACAAATTTGTTCATCCGCTCTCTATACTCGTTTATTCATGTAATAAAATATTTTTATTCAAAATTATTCAATGATGTTAATAAGAGTTTAAAAATTAATTCTCACTTTTTGTAAACTAGTTTTTTGTTAAAAAATTATTTTACAGAGTGTCTCACTATTTTCTGACAAATTATAACTTTTAATCCACTGATTATTTTCCGTTATTTATTTATGTTTTAATTTGCTTAGGA